TTACCATCAGCAGAAAACCCATAAATCTTCAAAGAAATCTCATTTATCCTGATAGTAAGTCATATTTGTATTACAGTACTGGGATCCTTCTAAGAAGTGCCATATGGGAATAGTTCTCTTAAATTCAGTATAATTTTTTTATTTGAGTGAAGGTTCTTTTTTTCTCTCTTTTTTTCTTTCTTATTGTTACTAATTCTTTAACGCTTTTCTTTCCTTGTTGAAGTTGAGTGATCTTAGATGTTGGGTTCCCAAGAGAAATTCTGGGTTCTAGGGGATATTGGATGGTTTTTTATCCCCTTACCTCACCTAGATATCCCCGTTTTCCCTTTGCTCCCACACTTTACTACTTGCTTTTTCTCACTTGGTTATCAGTTTAGTGACATTTCTTTAAAATTTGTTGTGTGTAATTCTGATGTGGCATAAGCAAAGCAATCCAAAGGCTGTAGTTTCTCAGGATGGGTCACATAGGGTGGTCTATTCATAGCATGGACTAGTTTACATACAAGAAAGGCAAGTGGAAGTTTAATATTTTCTCTTTGAAAGAGTTGAAGTACTGAGGCCTTTACCAGTTTCTTCGCGTTGGATCTCTCCCTGGCATATTAGTACAGTGTAAATGCTCAGATAAATGTGCTTTTTCAGTAAAAAGTCCTTGATCAAAGGAGAGCATATAGGAGAATACAATTCCTCCCTGAGCTATCTGTGGAATGGTGTGTCTCTGTCTCCGCCCCCTGCATTGGCTATTTTTCATTAGTAATAAGTGGTGCAGCAGAAGTATATGAAAGATCTTTTCTGAGTATGCAGAGTGGTCAGTGTTTCATGCTGAGGCTCTATAGAAGAGGAGATAGCAGCTTGGCCTCTGCTTGCATTCCTGAGCCCCCTAGTGACACATCAAACTAGGTCTCTCCTGAAATCTGACCCTCTTTGTCTAGTTCCATTCATCATGCTACAGACCAATAAAAAGTGCCACTAAATTACCACACACACCCAAGCCACTCCTTTGTACAAGTTTGTCACCTGGGCATATTTGGTTCCTGTTTGGACATTTAGCCCCATTTGGGATAGACTTACCAGCAAAAGTATATGGAGTCTAGATATTAAAAGTGGTGACGTCTAGCTAGATTCCCAAAGGCCTACAGAGCTGGTCTATAGTAATTTACATTACTTCAAAATTAACAGCTCAGAGATCCCTGGTGTTTCTGGACTTTGCTGTTTCCAGATGTTTTTAAACTTTTGCCTTTATGCAAAATGCCCAGATATGGAACATTCCCTCATATGAAAATCAATTAGACTAAATCTGTGCTTTCCTCTAAGAAGTGTTGGATTCTGTTGCAGTTTGCAGGCTCCTGCAGGGCCTTTTGGGATTCCTATGGAAGAATGTTAACATGCTTTGGAGCCTGCCATTCAGATTCACACAGTTTGCGGGAGTTGGTCACACTTTTCAGCTAATAGAGCTGCAGAAGTCCCTATGAAAATATAACAGAAACTATATTAGCCTATATTATTATTTGAATCAAATCCACCATAGTTATGAGTTGGTTTGGGGTTATAATATTGCCCCCACCCTATCTCTACCGTTTTTATTACAACAGAACACACGTTACTCATTAGGAGCTTGGGTGATATGGGAAACAGAGTGCTTAAATTATGTTGAATAAGTTCCAGATGTTAGTATCAAACAGAATTGGATCTATATTAAGGGCCTTTTTAAAAAATTGCTATTTATTGAAAGTGGGAAAAAACGTTTAATACAATTCTCTAACAGTTGTTACCCTGAAATATGTTGTGCTACATAGGAGTATATATCCGTTATAATGAGATTACTTTACCTGGTTTTCATCTTCAGAGGGCTTTACAAACCTTAACTAAATAATCTTTAGTTGCAATACAAGCTGGGATTTTTTAAATAAGAAAACTGTTAAAGAAATGGAACATGTAGTACAATAGCAAGACGGGTGAGTACAAGCTCAACTTAAAATACGTAGTCTCAATAGGGGTAAGTCTATATTCTGTTAAACAGTGATAATGTCAAGTATGGGTGGCGTCTTAGCATAGTTGATGACAGTGAAGTAGAAAAGGGAAGGCCAGGATGTGGGCATGTAGTGAGAAGGCTGGCAGAAGTGGATCTAGAGCTTGTGCATGGCTAAACAACAGGAAAGTAAAGCTGAGGCAGGATGAGGCAGTGGTTTTATATAGGGCTTCAGCTATGAGCAGGCTGTGCTGGGGAAGATAAATAAGATGATTAGTGGTATCACAGAGAAAGTTTTTTATTTTTGTATTTAATCTGTTTGGTTTTCCAGCATTATAAATTCTACATGTTGGATACCGTGATGAACACAGTATAAGAACCTATATAGACAGGATTGCAGGGATAACAGGACTTTTTTTTTTATGAGAAGAGGATTGGCACCCTGTATATGCAATGCTAGAAAGAATTGCTTCAGGTCGTATTCAGACCTGGTGAAAATAAATGGAACTACATGAAAACCTTAATGATTTCCATGGGACATTGGTTGTAGACATGCAGACTCACGCCAGTCATTGCACAGTTCTCTGTTCATGTGATTTCCAGTGTTTCAAGATCAGAAGGAATTGCTGTTCCTGAGAATCCAAGAGCGCTAGAAAGCTTGGTGTAGCACCCAAAACAAATGCACGTTGTTGTTACAGAAGTAAAGACCAGGATGTATGATGGAGGGAAGGATGGGTAGATATTTTTAGAAATTAATTAGGAGGCTCAGAAATATCCTGTTGGAAAGCAGATAGTTGATCTTCCTCCAGAATGTCACTAAGAAAAGTGCACATTTTTGTCAACATTGCTTCATCAACGCCACTTCTTCCCGCCCCACCCCACCTCCATGGACCTTTTGGTGTGCACCCTTCACTTAGCCTGCCCTGCCCTTGATGCAAATGCTGGCTCAGATGAGCACCTGATGGTGCTTTAGGTAGAGGCTGCTGACTTGCCCTGTATTTTTCTTGAGCCTCTTCTTATGAATGAATTGTTCTACTGTTGCATTGCTTCTGCAGTTGGAAGAGAGGCTGGGTGACAGACCCCAAATCCATTCAGTAAATTGGCCAGCAAAAAGGAGCTCAAGTGAATGACCGTTCCTTAGTCCTTCTTTCATTCCCTTACCCAAGTATCTGGCATGGCATTTGGGAATATTTATTGTGCAGCTCATATAATAACTCAGCTGCAAGACTGATACACTGCTGATTGGGACGGGGACTGTCTCATTGCACTGTGTTTGTACAGCGCCTTGTACAATCTGGTCCTGGTCCATGAATGGGGCTCCAAGGCACTATCATTATACCTGTACAGTAATAATAATATACTAATTTGTATTATTGTTACTGATGATAACAACTTTTTTAAAGCAATAAAAGAAACAACATTCTTATTAGGCTTTCTTAAAGTATAGTACGTATCACTGCTTGAGGACTGTATTTTTATTTTACGTGGCTGTATCATTTAATCTTGCTTAAAAAAATATTCAAAGTCTCCCACCCTTTCAGTGTTCGTTCAGTGCTGTTGCCAAGCTTCTCATGTTGAGAGTGTGCTGTTTGCTCATCCTTTGCACTCCATGTCTGGGCAGGTGTAAATCATGCCTCAAGCAATGCCTTTAAAAAGTATGCCTGTCCTCTGGGAGCTGGCAGGACTTGTAGTATGCACCAGTGGGTTTTAGAATAAAAACAGCCCCTTTCACAGGACAGGACCTGCATGATCTAAGGCATTGCAAAAATCTCATTGTTCTCAACACCTTTGTTTTCTTTAGAAAAAGTCTGTTTTAAAAGAAACTATCCAACTCTCAAATGATCAGTTGTGGACTGTAATTTTTATTTAATAAGCAAACTATGGGTCAATGGTAAAACAAGAATTAAAAAAATATATACTTGCTGATTATACAGTTTGGGTCTGATGATCTTTAGCGATATGTAACTGCTTATGAACCATATACAAAAATCTGCGAAACGTTTGTTGGAATTTTTTTTTTTTTATTTCAAAGTTTCTTCAGTGGAAACCATTTTTTTTCCCTCTAGCAAATGTATAGCAGGCTGAGATATCACAATTCTTCAAGCCTGTGCCCAGTCTTTTCTATCTATAATCTTTGAGTTGACCTGGCATGCATCTGGGCCTAATTCAGTGACCTTCGTAATCAAAAACATACTGTATCTGTTGTTATAATGGCGTGTTTGAACCATTTTGGAAAAGTAGGGCTGCTTTTCATAAATATTTGTCTTGCTTTAGTTTCCTGCAGATATAGTTTATATGTAAACTACTCCATACACACTCACTGTCGTGCTATCCTGCTATATCACATCACACTGTCTCGAATACAACATAAGAGCATGGCAGTGATTATTTGAAAGGACATTGATTATGTTTTGGACTAGATAACAGTTATCAGTTTAGATCATCATTGTCAGATTCAAAATAGACTTGGCAAACAAAATTTCAGTTTGCCATGTGATAAATGTCTGCAGTAATGTGGCAGGGCACCTGAACTATGTTTGCATTATATATCCGCTCTACTTCAAAAGGAATATATATGATTGCGTAGTTATGTTTTCTGTTTTTGTCATAAAGATGTTTCACATAGACAAATAATCTGCATCTCAGGCAAACCAATCCCTCCCCCCATTTTTTATTTTTCATTCTTTTCTTTCTCAGTCCTTATTTCCTTCCTTATTTTCTTGGTGTACGGTGGACTTCCTACAATTTTGAGAAGGAGAGGAATACATGATTCAAATGAGGATTGTCAGAGAAATTAATTAAACATCTAGCACCAAAAAGGAATGACAAAATAAGTAAATAAGCAAAGTAATTGAAACAAATTATTTATAATAACTAAAAAAGTTTATTTCCGTTATATATTGCAGATAACTAATTGAAGCCTCTGTCTGTGTTCCAACTGGTTTTGTAGTCAAAAAGACAATTCTAGTTTAAAAGATGTCATTTACTCTGGCTCGTGCCTCTGAATGGTGTGTATCTGTGATTTCCTCTACAGGTCCTGTGCCTAGGAGTGAATGTGTGTTATCGGCTGTCAACAGTTCCCACCCAGTTCATGCCTTGCTGGAGAGCTTTACCGTCTTATCTGGTTGTGCAAGCAGAGGCACAATGGGCCTACCGCAGGAGGTGCACATCCTCAACCTTAGAAATCCAGAGGAAGGTCTTGGCCATCATGAAAAAGAGGTAAAGGGGAGATTGGGCACTTTCCAAACAAGAAAGTACAAAAAGTACAAAAATAGCTGTAAAAGGCTTTCTTTTAACATTAACTTGCTGAAGAAAGAGATTTCTTAAACATAAACAGAAGCACTACAGGGAAATGTAGGGTGTTTGCACTATTGCTGCCCGTCCATGCTTTGCTTGGTATAGGAACAAATCCCTGTGGTGTTCCAAGCTGTCAGTCCATCCACAGTTTTCACAAGCAAGAAGTTCACTAACAAAAAATAGAATGAGGAATAAGAAACAGATTTTCATCTAGAGGAGGCCTGTATTGAATTGCCCATCTTCAGCACTAGATCATTTACCAAAATGTGTTGTAAATTATCACAAATGCTTTCAGATCCTTGCCATGATCTCTGTAAACAAATACTTAAATTCAGATTCTTTTACCCTTGTAATACATCTTTATTCTTAACTGCTAAGGAATGTAGTTCAGATAGCAAGTATTGCTGACTATAATAGTTCTTAAGCACAGTGCAATTACTTATTTATGTAGGCTTCACTCAGATGAATTGGAGAGCACTTTTGTTCTAGCTGCTATGAAAGCAGCAGAAAACTCTTGATGTTAACTTGTGCAATACTGTTGTTTACTTTGAAAACACATCAAAACAGACTGCTGAAGTGGAAAGAAAACATTTCATGTCAGGACAGCTCAGCTCCCTAACTCTTGTATTTACAACACTACACCCCAAAAAAACCCAACAACAACAACAAAAAACAAAGCAAAAGAAACCCCAAACCACTACTGCTGCCTGTGAAAGCACCATGGGTATACATACAATTAGCTGAATTGGAAGCATTAGAAAAAGAAACAGATCCAGTGGGAGAAAGCTGATTGCTTAGAGGCCTAAGATCTTAAGTCTGTGCTTAAAAGAAATGTTAAATAAAGTTTACTGACTTCTAATATATAGGGTTGTAGACTGTCACCTCTGAAGTGAGTAGAAATCTTGCCATTGACGTCAATGGGAGTGTGACTGCTGAGCCCAGGCTGTGGTGTCAGTGGAATGTATATTGTATGTTCCACCTGAAATTTCAACTGTTGTTTACACAGTCTGAAAATTCCAGATTATGATGGAAAGGTGATTCATTATCTTTTCAGTAGACCTCCTCACTGGCTGCCCTCAGCCAGACATGTGAGATCTGCTTCAGACTAACCATCCTGCAACAAGTACAGATATAATACCAGTCCTGCTAGGGATGGGCAAGAAAAGTAGAGCTGCTTTGGTGTAGCATTTTTAGTATTCATAAAGTATTTACAAACTACTCTGATGAGTGCAGTATAAATGTCTAAAAAGATACAGGTGCTGTACGTTCTACTATATGGGCATGTAGCCCATATTGTAATTTAAAAGCTTGTTTTTTGATTATCCTGATTCTGCAGTTGTTGCATAGGCACACCTCTTCAGTAGAAGTCATGTGAATATAAAGGCTGCAGGACTCGGCATGTAACATCTCATACACTCAATTATAGCAGATAAATATTTAACTTTTAGATCAAAATGTTTTCTGTCTAGCAGAAAGAGGCTGCTTATGTCACATCTAACATGCTTATTTTATCAAAACAGTTTGTCCATATCTATCTTTCTGGTGTTCTTTGGTGAATTAGGTGACACACTGATGCTGTGGTGGCATACAATATATTTTACATCTGCAGCCCTTTACCTCCTTCCACTGTCTCCCACCCTTACCACAATCATAGCCTTTAGAGATGACTCCTCTGAAAATGAACAGGAAGCTAGAGAAAGCCTTTCTGGCGACAGCAGAGAGCAGAAGCGTGTAAACAACTCGGAAAGATCAGATTTTACTTATAGGATAAGAGTCTGAAAACAAAGCAGAGCAAATGTTATCTTTTTCATCATTGTAAAAATCAACTCTAAGTGCCCTTTTGACTTAAAAAGTAAAATGCATCCATCACCTCATGTTAGGTTAGGTCAGGTCACTTCACCATTTAGGATGTTTCCTGATGCCTGCAAATGCTGATAGCAAAGGCAGAGATTTATTTGTTTACAGTACAATATGTCTATAGAAATAAAAATAGTCTTTTTGTTTGCAAATACCTTCTTTTCAGATGCAACATTTAAACTGTATTTAAAACAGATTGCACATGCACTCTGTGATCTATCAAGGTTCTGATAGCAAGGAATATAGGACTTAAAATGCTTTAAATTATGTAAGTCTTGGAGTTAAGTGTGGTGTGGGTTTTCTTTTGTTTTGCTTTGTTTTGTTTTTTTAACTTGTCCTATTACTGGTGCTACTAAGTTAGACATTCCTTACTTACTGAGAGGAGCGTAAACCCTCCCTGCAGCAAATCTTCTGTAGGACTGATGCATTAAACATGTTTGTTTAGTTATCATGATACTCATAAATGTACAAGGCATGCACACACACATACACGCACAAGTACACACAAGTAATTTACGTTGACACTTCTTTAGAACATGTAGAAAACAAGCTGTCTTGAACTTAAACACTTGGGGGCATCTTTACTTCCCCCGCCACATGCACAAAGTTCCCAGTAAGGTTAATGGGAATTATTTATGCAAGTTACACTGAAAACAATAGCTGGCTTAGTAACTTGCAGTGTTTGCAGCAGCCAACACAATACTAAATTGATAATCACTCAGGTTAAGGTTAAAACCTGCTAAATGAAAAGGTCATGTGATGACATGCTGCATCATGGCTGCTGTTTTCAAGGGGTTTATTTGCTTTCCTGTATTTCCATTTCACTTCATTAATTTTGTAACTATTTGGGTGGCATCTCATTTTCTGAAAATATCGAGGCATTTTCTTCAAATGACCATTCTGATACTGAACTTCAGTCTTTTTCAGCCATTAGTATTTTGTGTTCTGTGCCCTAACATTTCAGTTTTGCCATACTTTACCATAGGAAGTTAATACAGGATGCGTGTGAATGTTGGCTTTGGCATGGAAAATGTGAGCCTTTTTTGGTTTATTTGATCAAATAGTCACCAGAGAGTGAGTGGATTGGTCTGAGAACTAATATGGGAACCAGGTTCTAATGCGCTCTAATTTTACCTCTAGCACTAACTTTCTCTTTAGCTTTTGGCAGCCTCTCAGCCTCAGCTTCTCCATCTGTAAAAAAGAGGATAATCTTTGCCTATTGTGAGCTGTTGGGAGAATTAATTGATGTTTGTAAAGTCACTGTGCAGAGATTAGCACCAGAGAAATATACATAGAGATAAAATTATAAATAAAATTCTTCAAAGATGAAGAACGCTGTTTACATAGAGGTGTAACACAATCTTAGTGGCAGATTCTCTTACTACTAAATGTTGGTTTAAACTGCCCTGAGTTTCTTCAATCATACAGCTAATGATCAAAATAGCTAAGGGGAAAGAAATACAAAATTAATCTCATGTGAATACTTAGAATTTAAATCAGAATTCCTGGAAATACATTCACCATTGTTTTCACTTACATCCTCTTCCTCAATAATCTGAAGATGCAGAACCTGCAGTAAAGTGGCAGGTTTGTCCAGATCTCGCTAAATTAGTGTTTCTTTTGTTCCCAGCTTTACTACTTCTAAAAATTCAAAGCTGGATCTTTTTGAAGTATCTCTAGTAAATTTGGGCTATGATAAATTCTCCCATTGTGTAATGGCTGCTTCATGGATTGGGAAATTATCATAGCCCAAATTTATAAGAGATACTCCAAAAAGATCCAGCTTTGACTCTTTTGAAGTAGTAAAATTGGGAACAGAAGAGACACTAATTCGTCTGTTTCAGTTTGTCCAGACCTAGACCATCTGATAAACTATTCCTACCATAAGACCTTGGCAACGTATCCTGAACCAACATTTTTCACAGTTATTCTTGTAGAACTTCATGATGACAGATTATTCTTCATTCTCCATCAAAGTAATTTGTTTTTAGTACTGTAGAGTTTTGGATGAGGAGGATTGGAATGGAATCCTGGGTCATCTAATCCATTCTTCTGCATGAATAGTGGATTTTCCACTGTACTAATCTCAGCTGTTTTCAAAAGAAAACTTGGATACACCTTTAGGGATACATTTTCAGACTTCAGGTTGAATATGTTTATGTGCAAAGTTTTCACACCCTGAAGAGGTGCAAATACCAGTGTGTACACTTAACCAATAGTCTAACATCTGTATGCACCCAAGTTTTAGACTGTTTCAAGTGCCTGCAGGTGTGCTAAAGGTGGGCATGTGTATGGTTGCATGTTGCTGATACAAGTGGAGGGCTGGTAAAGGTCCTTTTGAAAATGAACCCCTTAATGTTAGGGATCTAACACCATCCCTTTATAGATTATACTACAGAATAATTTGTTTTTCTATTACATCCTGTTGTTGCAAAAATGTACACATGTGCATAAGGCTTATACGCTGTATGTATAGCACTGAGTGACTTCAGTGCTACTACTTAGACTGTGTAAGTCTCTGCAGAATCAAGGACTTAAACTTTAGTTAAAAATGCTTTCTATTTTAAATTTTCTGGTTTTATTTTCATGACACTTCTTTAAGCTTTACAACTGTTCTCCCTTTAAATCTCAGAACTCTTAAGTGTTTAGATAGTTATACCCGCTTTTCATCATTCCTCTAGGCTGTACATGTTAAATTTCTTTACTCTCTCTGCATGAATCATATTTTGTAATTCCCTTATGATTCCTGAACCCCTTTGGGTTTCCCCTCCAATTTATCAGTGTTTTTTTATTTTTGTGTATCATTTTTTTTAAAAACATGATGCTTCATACTGTACAAAGGACACTAGTGTGGCCTTACTAATGCTATATTCAGTGTAATAATTCATTCCCTGTTCGGGCATCCCGTTGAATCTGAGTATCCAAAGGTCTTTGGGACCAACCACAACCTTCAGATAAAGGGAGCTTTGGATGAAGAGTTCACACACGCAGTGCACTGAAAAGAGGCTGACCTGTTGTATAGGGGCTGTGATTTAGGGCTGAGAATGTTCTCATCCAGGGTTACT